TTGTTTGATTAAACTATATAAAAGAAAAGAAATAAATTATTCATATTATATTACCAAAAGGTATCAATTTTTTAATTTATTCTATATCTAAGGCTCGGTTTGGTTAGAATGAAAATGGTAGAAAGTGAAAGAAATGGAAAAAAAATAAATTTTTCTAAATTTGCTTAGCATGAAAGTGGTGGAAGTTATAAGAAAATTAATTTTCTTATACAAAACTCATAACAACATGGTAACTGGGCTTCTAATTTTTTGCAAAAAATACAAAAAAGTTTAAATTTGTTATAAAGATAGTTACTTGTAATTAAAATTCTACTTTCTTATAAAATTTTCATCATAATCAAATTCATACGGGGAAAGATATATTTTTTTTCATTTCTTTTCTTTCACTTTACTTTTTATCATTTTCATTTTTCATAATTTATTTCTATCTTATCAAACGGGACCTAAAGCGGAAATTTTGATATTATAATAAAATAATAATTAAATAATTTCTTTTTTTTTCTCCTAATATTAAAAATTATACTTATGAGACAAATGAGAGAGCATTTGGGATTGACTCTTTTTACTAACATTTTATTTGCGATTTTATTTTATTTTATTTTGTAAACGAGTTATAACACCTTTTGGGACTCTAAACTGACAACGGATTGGAAATTAAGGTTTGGTCTCGTTTAGTAATAGATTATTTTAATAATTTTTTTATTTTTTATAAAAAGATGTAAAAAAAATAATAAAGAGAGTAATGTGATTAATTTTTTAACTAAAATATATAATAGACAAACGAGACCTAAGTTGTCTTTTAGCGTTTGAAAAATTATTTTATGTGAGTAAAAAAATTAATTTTGCTATTGACTTTTTAGAGCTCATAACAAATGGTTAATGACTCTTTTGATTGTTTTAGCCCACGTTAAAATTATTATTATTATTTATTATTATTATTATTATTATTATTTTATTTATTTATTTGTGTGTGTGTGTGTTTTGCCATTGCCAAACGTCTTCCTCTTTCTCAATTTCTTTGTTTTTCTATAGGTAAATTGCATTGATTTTTCTTGATAAATTTTTTTTAAGGTCTCTGATATTAAGATTTTATAACATAAAGGACACTCAATATTTTCATAATATCTAAAGTCCCTCAATATCAATCTAGAGAAAATTCGATCCAGAGAATTTCTCTGGACAGATCACAGAGAAAATTCCAAATTTCTCTGGACACATCACAGAAAAAATTCTAAATTTCTCTGGACACATCACAGAAAAAATTCTAAATTTCTCTGGACAAATCATAGCGAAAATTCCAAATTTCTTTGAACCAACACCAAATTTCTCTGGACAAATCAGAAAACATTCACTCTGGGCATTGCAAAATGTTGCGACGTTGCAATAAAGGGCTATGAAAAACTGAGTGAACAGTTATTGCAAACATAATATATAGATATTACACCTAAATCAAGAAAACATTTTTTTCTTTTCTTTTTAGAAGTCTAGAGCATTTTGAATGACATAACAACACAAGTTAAGCACAGGACTTAATCATAAAACATTCACCTAAAAAACTGTATATCAGTAACTAAACGGCACAAATGATGCACAAACTTTATTACCAAGAAACAACAACAATACCAAAAGCACACATGTACAAGAACACATCATTTGTGTAGTTGACAGATATAATACAAGCTGTAGAAAGGGGAAATTGAATCAGTTAGACTCAACTAGTCAGAGAAAAGTCGATCCAGAGAATTTCTCTGGACGAATTTTCTCTGGACTTCACAGAGAAATTCTAGTTCACAGAGATTTTCTCTGGTCCAATTTTCTCTAGACTTCACAGAGAAATTTTGGTTCACAGAGAATTTCTCTAGTCGAATTTTCTCTAGACTTCATAGAGAAATTCTGGTTCACAAGGCTTCATTATTATTGAGAATTTCTCTAGACTATAAATTTGAATTGTTGAGAATTTCTCTGGACTATAAATCTGTAATTTATTGTAGGGTGCATTCACAAGGCTCCATTCATCATCTTTTAAACCAGAGAAAATTGAAATTTCTCTTAGTACCAAAGAAATCTAGAGAAAATTGCATAGAGAAAATTTGTGTGGCTTTGTGTGCCTCTATCCAAAGAAATTTGTGTTAGAGAAAATTTGTGTGGCTTTGTGTGGCTTTGTGTGGCTCTATCCAGGAAAAATTGTGTAGAGAAAATCTGTGTGGTTTTGTATGGCTCTATCCAGAGAAATTTGTAAGCTCTATCCAGAGAAAATTGTGTTAGAGAAATTTTTTGTGGCTTTGTGTGGCTCTATCCAGAGAAAATTGTGTAAATTTGTGAGGCTTGGTGTGTCTCTATCCAGAGAAAATTGTATAGAGAAAATTTGTGTGGCTTTGTGTAGCTCTATCTAGAGAAAATTGTGTAGAGAAAATTTGTGTGGCTTTATCCAGAGAAAATCTGTGTAGTTTTGTGTGGCTCTATCTAGAGAAAATTGTGTAGAGAAAATTTGTGTGGTTTTGTGTGGTTCTATCCAAAGAAATTTATAAGCTCTATCCAGAGAAAATTGTGTTAGATTTGTGTGAATCTACCTAGAGAAATTTGTAAGCTCTATCCAGAGAAAATTGCGTTAGAGAAAATTTGTGTGGCTTTGTGTGGCTCTATTCAGAGAAAATTTTGTCAGAGAAAATTTGTGTGGCTTTGTGTGGCTTTGTGTGGCTCTATATAGAGAAAATTGTGTAGAGAAAATTTGTGTGGCTTTGTTTGGCTCTATCAAGAGAAATTTGTAAGCTTTATCCAGAGAAAATTATATTAGAGAAAATTTGTGTGGCTCTATCCAGAGAAAATTGTGTGGAGAAAATTTGTGTGGCTCTATCTAGAGAAAATTGTGTAAAGAAAATTTGTGTGGCTTTGTGTGGCTCTATCCAGAGAAAATTTGTATTTTTGATCAAACTAGAAAAAATTGAACAAAAACAAAAAAACAGATAAGAGAATTTCTCTAGTTTAGGCATGGAAATATACCAATCAAGCTCATGAACTTAAAATCAGATAAGAGAATTTCTTTGGTTTAGGCATGGAATTTCTTTGGCTTAGGCTTTGTTCACAGAGAATTGAAATTTCTCTGTAAATCTCTTTCTCTCTTTAAATCTCTTTCTCTCTTTATTGTTGTAATGTAATGAAACTCCTCCGAGCTTCATTCTCACACCTCACTTGTATTTCATCATTACCATATCTATATATACAAATCTTTCAAAATTTGTATATATATATACACCCATATCATCTTCAATTCTATTACAAATCTTAAACTCAACAAAACAACTCTTAATCTCACCCCAATGTTGATCATCCAACACATAATTCTGCAACCAGTTGGACATAACAAGGCTTATCCACAGGAGAAAACAAAATCATCCTTTAGGGTTACAAACTCCAAGTAATGTTCGTGTACCTTGGAAATTCGATTGATGGAGTCAAAATTGAGAGTCCCCGATGCGAGATCTTCAAGGAAAGACGAGGAATCGAAGATGAGAAATTGAAGTAGAAGGAATCGTAGAGAGATCGATAGGCATCGGAAACGATTCGCTGAACATTGAGGTGAGTGGATTGGACAAAGTAGACGGTGGGGACATCATGGACAAGCTTGCAGTCCTCGTCGATGAGGAAGTATAGAGTTACGCCGTGCTTGCGAAGGTCCATGACGTAGATGAGAGGTGAGAGAATGTCTTGGCAGAACTTGTAGTAGATCAAGATCATGTAAACTTCTTCATTCGCTGTTCCACTTGAATTCACTGGTTGGTTCAGTTTCAACATTTGATTTATGCATTCTGCAAATCAAAGTCATATATGAATGAATGAATATCAACAAAATTAGATCGATAGATTTAGAGAGAGAGAGAGAGAGAGAGAGAGAGAGAGAGAAATACTGGTTTGTCTTTGTCAGAGATTGAGTGCCATGGTTGGGAGAGTCAAATTTCTCTGTGATATATGGGTGTGGGGTTAAGGGACCTTAGACTTCATAAAATAATATTGTGAATCTCTTACATTACTAAAAATGGGGGAGGGACCTTAGACTAATTTTTTCATAATTTTATTACCAAACTAAGACGAATTTATCACAACCAACGTACAATTTGAAGCACAATATAGATGCAAATATAGTAAAATATTCCAAAGAAAATCTAGAAAATCAAATAAATTTTAAGTGGTTCCTCCAAAATCTGGAAGCCCCTTTGTGGGAAGAATCATCATCAAGGACATCAATGAGAAATTCATCGCTATCGCTTGACGTCATTCTGAAAGACTGCAAAATACAAGAGAAAAAAGACAGTAGAGAATGAAACAATATGCAAAAGTAACGCAAGAAAGGAAAATCAACCCGAAGTGTACATATCCAAACAAAAAAGAGGAGCACAAAAGTAATTCAGCAAAGGCAAGAACCATAGGTTACATGTGTAGAACACCTCAAAGGTTTGATTGTCACGAAATAGAACTTCTACATTCCAAAGTTAGTAACATTCAGTAGAAGATATTTCAAAGACAAGGGGCAACAAACTATCTGTGTTTTGGAGGAAATGAAAAGAACAAGGAATTTCTTTTCTTTTCCTCCCATTCTTTCACTTTCTTTTGTTTGGTTCTTATTGTGAAGAGAAAAAGAAAGAAAAATAAAGAGAAAATATTTCAAAGTTTTCTTCTTGGGCCCGTAAAGTTTCTTTCTTACTTCATCTAATAATCAAATTAGAAACTGATTAATTCATTTCATCAACAACAGAAAAGAAACATAAATAAAAGAAAGATTACCTCCTGTCTCTATGAATCCTTGCAGCTTGAGATCATAAAGTTGAAATGAAACTACAAGGGAGAAAATTAAGCACTCCAGCAAAGCTTAGCGGAGATTGAATTTAAAGTAATTTAATAAAAAAATAATATAATTTAAATAAAATAATATAAATTAAATAAGGTAATAATTTAAAATTTTTTTTTTTTCAGATTATAACAATCAAGACCATAATGTAGATAAGGATCACCGAGTAAAGTAGGCTAAACCACACTACCACTACGACATATCGAAATCCCTAGGTCATTGGTTCCAATCTTCATCACCAATCCATTGATTAAAATGTTGAATGAAGAGGCTACTACTATTACTCCACCATCATCATCATCAGATTCCATGAACGACAAGCTCTCTCGCTACCTCCCCATCTCCCTAAATCCCGACGGTTCGATCACTCGCTTCCCCGAAATCCCCACCACACCCGCATCACCCGATCCCAACTCTCCCTCCCCAGTCCTCTCCAAAGACATCCCTCTAAACCCCCACAACCAGACCTTTCTCCGGCTCTTCCTCCCCCGCCACTCCCTCCGCCGCTCCGCCGCCGCAAAGCCACCGCTCATCGTTTACGTCCACGGCGGCGGTTTCATCCTCTCCAGCGCCGCCAACCCTTCCTACCACAATTTTTGCTCCGAAATGGCAGCGTATCTCGGCGCCGTGGTAGCCTCCGTCGAGTATCGGCTAGCGCCGGAACATCGGCTCCCGGCGGCCTACGACGATACCATGGACGCGTTGTACTGGATTGGAGCTTCCCAAGATGAGTGGTTGCGTGAGTTTGCCGACATCACGAACTGTTTTCTCATGGGGACTAGTGCTGGGGGAAACATCGTCTACCACGCGGGACTACGTGCAGCCGCGGAGGCCGATGATCTTTTGCCGTTGAAGATCAGAGGGCTGGTATTGCATCAGCCGGCGTTTCTTGGGTCCAAAAGGACTGGATCGGAGCTTCGTTTGGCAGATGATCGAATATTGCCTGAGTTTGTTCTTGATGTGCTTTGGAAATTATCGTTACCGATCGGTGCTGACCGCGATCACGAGTATTGTAATCCGACGGTGGGGAGTGGATCGGCGGCATTGGAGAAAATGAAGTTGTTGGGGTGGAAGGTTATGGTGACGGGCTGTGACGGTGACCCACTGATCGACCGTCAGATGGAGTTTGCGAAGATGTTAAAAAAGAAGGGAGTGGAAGTGGTGGGACAGTTTGATGAGGGAGGTTATCATGGCTTGGAAATATTAGACCCCACCAAAACGACACCGTTGTTTGCTGGTCTGAAGGAGTTCATTACTATTTCTCAGTAAAATATTCGAAATGTTTTTTTTTTTTTTTTTTTTAAAAATAAAATTTGGTTGATGCTATGTTGTTTGGTATAGCTTATTGAGTTTTATTTTTTATTTTGAAAATCTGTAATAGTTTGGTGTAATATGTATGATTTTAAATAAATAAAAATGCTTATTATAAAAAAGCAGAATAAGAGGTACAGTCTTTTTAGTTTTAAATTTATCTTTTTTTAATTCACAGGTAATTGAAATTTGAAAGTTTGCAAGGCTTTCCTTAATTTTTACCCTTTTTATACTTCATTTTTCAATTTTAATTAATTAAATATTTTTTCATGCCAGGCTAATTCCAGCAGAGTAGTAACTGAAACCATTTTTGAAGCTTTTATCCTGCGTTTGGATCAAACACATGTTTTCTATATTGAAATAATTAATTTTTTAATTTCAAGTTCATTCAAGACCGTCATGTTATTAGTTTTGCTCAATCATAATCGGTCAAATTAGCAGTACATCTGAAAATTTTTATGTTGGTCAAGTCTCAAAAAGGAAAAAATATCAAATCTCGGATCTCACTTTGATTAAGAGGTGTTTTGAGAAGATAGTTAAAAGTTATTTTTTTATTCTTTTTTTGACTTTTTTTGTGAAAGATAACCCACTTCCCAAAATAAACCTAAATTAATCCATCATAATTAGTAATTAAATTAAATAGTGCCATACTAAATAGTTTCTCATTATTTTATTACCAAGGAGATAGAATTTGAATGATTACTTGGGGCAATAAGCATCTCAGATTCATAGAGAAATTTGTGTAAGGAAAAAATAAAAAAATAAAAAAATATTTTTAGAAAGAAAAATTCTGTTGCATACTCACTCCAAAAAAATTGCAAACTATATGCACATTTATTAAAAGCCATTGAATCTAAAGGGAGGCATTTATTATATAATAGTGATAATACCTAAAGCGATTTTTAAATATAAAAATAATGGGCGGATCAATGAAATTATTCATAATGAGTCCTATAAAAATAATCTAATACGAGGTATTTATTATATAATATTCATAGTAATTAAAGTAATTTTCAAATACAAAAATAACGATTTGGATCAATGAAATTCATTGGATCAATGAAATTCATGATGAGCCCAAGTCACCATGAGTCCGAACATAATCCAAATTATTTTATAGTTTATTATGATTATTATTATTACTATTATTTTGTCATTGGATGGAGGAGGAAAAATAATCTTGTAGTAGCAGTACAGTGGACTTCCCATTCAATCTAGCCACCGTTCATAGGATACGACAATGGGCCGGAAATGGACCATAAATTTTGGAGATGTATCTTGGGCTTTAAGGTGTGTGCTTGCATCTCTCAGGACTAGTGGTGTGTTGTTTGAGTTTTATTTTATTGTACAAGTCTCAAATTCTTGACTCTTTACTCTCTTTCTCTCTATCCTTTTGTTTTTGTGTTTTTATATGTTGAAAATTAAAAAAGATCTTAAAACAATGAATTGACAAGCTTGATTGATTTTATTTTTTGACATTAGTTAAAAAATTTGGGATTGGATCAATGAAATTCATGATGAGCCCAAGTCACCATGAGTCCGAACATAATCCAAATTATTTTATAGTTTATTTTGATTATTATTATTACTATTATTTTGTCATTGGATGGAGGATGAAAAATAATCTTGTAGTAGCAGTACAGTGGACTTCCCATTCAATCTAGCCACCGTTCATAGGATATGACAATGGGCCGGAAATGGACCATAAATTTTGGAGATGTATCTTGGGCTTTAAGGTGTGTGCTTGCATCTCTCAGGACTAGTGGTGTGTTGTTTGAGTTTTATTTTATTGTACAAGTCTCAAATTCTTGACTCTTTACTCTCTTTCTCTCTATCCTTTTGTTTTTGTGTTTTTATCTGTTGAAAATTAAAAAGATCTTAAAACAATGCTTTGAAAAGCTTGATTGATTTTATTTTTTGACATTAGTTTAAAAAATTGGGACAATTAAACCTTTATTTTTCCTACACGAAAAACAAGTTAACAAGAAATTGGCTCGTTAACAGTAAAGTCGTGTTTTTACTCATAGTGAAAACCTAGAACCAAATTCCACCTTTGTTTGGATTTTGGAGGGTTCACTGGTACAGGGAGTCAAAATGTTTATAAAGGGGTGCTCGCAAAGTAGATTGGGTCGAGTGGCTTTTCATCCGCTATACTTTCGAATTTATGCATATTAATGCGGATTGAGCGGGCTTTGTCCGTTGGCGCGGATGAATGTTGTTTGGTGGTTTGGACTTTTTTGTTTTAGGCCCAAAATTTTTTTATTTTTATTTTTAAAAGGAGGCCCAACTTTCATATTCGTAAATAGCAAATATAATTCTAAATAAAAAGTCATTTTTTTAACAAACATATCATCATCTTTTTAGGAGCGTTGGCGAATCGGGTTGGGTTGGGTAGCCTTGCATCCGCTATTTGTCCAATATTAAGCAGATTGAAAAATATAAATTCACATCGGTCTGCTTGACCATTTAAACCATCCATTTTATGATGGATTGGTTTGGGCCATTTGATTTTGGCAAGTCAGATGGATGTTTGCCTAGCCGTAGTTTATATAATAGACTATTCACATATGAATTGTTAGGTAAAATAACTATCTAATTTAACTTTTCACTATTCTACGGGCTCTCTAAATACTAATTTAGCTCCATCTTTTTTTGCTCTCTACATTAAGAGAGCCATTGAAGACTCTTCAAATTCTAAGGAACCCTCTATCTTCTTTCCATCCATCTCTAATATTGATGTGGCATACCATGAAACACTATCAATCATAAATTAGTATGGATAGAGTTAAATAGAAAGTAGCGTTGGAGTAATTAAAAGGTAAAGTGACTAGCTAAAATAAAAATTGCTGTTCTTTTTTTTTAATCTTATTTAGCTAGCAAAAAATGGCTAGCATGATTGGAATTGCTCTAATTGTGATTTCCTACATGTGAAAGGCACTATTTATTTTGTTAGGTTTTTGTAATTGACAATCTCGTTAGATAAAACCATTCAGGCCTCATTTGGCATGTAATAGTTTTAGCACAAAAGCCAAAAAGTTACTAAAAAAATCAAAAAGCTTATAACCTATACCAAAAAGTCAAAGATTCACTTTTCTCTCTACTTTTTGCACATCTTTTCATAAAAAACTAAAAAATCATTTCAAGCATACTATTTTTTTTACCTCATATTTTAGCCAAAAAGTCAAAAAATTACTAAAATAGCTTGTTCCTAAACGAGGTCTGCTACATTTTTATTCACTCTATTGTATTCGTGAGGTTATGAGAGTTTAGATGCGAATCCAACTCGAGTTGTGCCTGTGCAAAGAATTTGTGTTGACATTATATATATCTTGACTTGAGCATCCTTGTTTGCCACTTCGTTGACTATGTACAGGGATCGAGCTGCCTAGTAGCTCGTAGGGGTCCAGGGGGCAGTGCCCTTGGCATGTCCGGGGTAGCGCCTAGGTGAGGTCGAGGGGTAGTACCCCCGAAGCCAAGAAGAAGTCAGAGTTGTTTGACCGCTAAAGCGGTCTTTTGTGCACTCAAGTGGTGAAGTGGTTCATCTAGTATTTCTGTCTGCATTCTGAATTTTTGGGAAATAAGGTTCATCTAGTATTTCTGTCTACATTCTGAATTTTTGGGAAATAAGTTTTACCGCTTGAGCGGTAGATGTTGCGCTCAAGTGGTTGGTCTATATGTGAGCATCGCCTTTACTCATACTGCTCGAATGGTAAAGTGTGAGTTTGAGCAATCTTCGCAGCTCTGTTTAGTACATAGTGCATTGTTTGCTATTTTTAGGGTTCAACCCGTCCAGATTCTTAGAGATGAAGAGAAAACAAAAAGTTCTATATTAGAGGGTGTTTATGTATTGTTTTCTTTGATGATTTAAGGGTGATCGATTGATCAACAAGTTTCATATTGATAAACATCTAGGGTTGGTTTTATTCTTTCATTCACAAAAAGAGAGAGTTATTCATCGGTGGATTCCAAAGAATTTGTGTCACACCCCACTTTTTATTACTCGAAGTATTACCAATTTCATTTACTTAATTCCATTTCAGAGATAACATGCGAAAATAAACTCGTATATTCAACTCGTAGAAGTGAATAACATTGCTCTCATTCGTATGCAAGTAAATACAACATGAGTATAATAAATAAATTACCCTTGGGCTTACATCATTAACAACAAATCAAGAAAAAGGGTGCAACCCTTTTACACATATGGCATTCTGCCCATATAAGAGAGGCCCCGTGGCCAACAAATCAGAAGATCCAAATCTTGCAGCACATTCAGCTCAACACCTGAAAAAGATTCAACAACGTGGGATGAACATATAGTCCAGTAGGGATCTCAACATGGCCCTCAACAATAACAACATACAGATAGCTATGATCATGAATACCCAATCTCATACTAGAATAGTAATGTGACAGTTTATACAAAATATACATAAGTATGAACTTTTCTTGAAAACAACCATTTCAATCAACGCCATAGGCGATTCAATTTTCTTTTCTTTTCATTAATCCCCGTTCCCAATCTTTCATAACATTAACATTACCTTAGGAAACAAATTCACTAAGCCCACTACTCTCTTCCATTTTCCTAACATACACAGATACCTTAGGAAATAAATTCACTAAGCCCACTACTCTCTTCCATTTTCCTAACATACACAGATATGCCTTTTCAAAACATATATCTCCTTAAAATATCCATTCTACTTCATTCATTCCAAAAGACAAAAATGACATTTTGGCTTCTTCCCGGTACAATCAAATCTAGACATGCACCATTATAAAAAGGGAGATAACAACTCACCAACATGTATAAGATAAACCAACGAGGCAACTCGGCCCTTCAAAACTGTAACCGACACAATCCATGATATTCCCAGACACATTGAAATATCAACAACAAAACTTTGCTCTACTAGCTATGTGCGTAGTAAGCCAAAGATACACCTCTCACAACAACATATCAGTTTACCAAGCGCTAGCTGGAAGGGTGTGGTACCTTAGATTCTCAGCGCAGTCAGTTTACCAGGCGCTAACTGGAAGGGTGTGGTACCTTAGATTCTCAGCGCAGTCAGTTCTCCAGGCGCTAGCTGGAAGGTCACGGTACCTCTGATTTTGAGCG